TAATCTACTATCAGTTAACCGTAATTCCTCTCATCCTTTACTTTAAGCTTTTAAAAAATTTTTCATAATTTAAAAAATTATTTAAAGACCAAAAAGTCTCAATAATAATTGCAAAAAACGGTACGTAACTTCCAAATATCTAATCCTAATACTGATATTTGAAAGTAATAAACTCTTTAAACACAATTTCTTAATGTAATCATCTTCATTCAAATTCTTTTTTTTAATACTGAAGAATACAAACAGTATACAAACACATTTGACTAAATCAGCTAGCTGCTCCATATTTTTTTTTTCTTGTAAAAAAAGAATTAAAATAATTCGTATTTTGCTCAGTTTAAAGTTACACCAGTTGATTCCAATTTTTCAGTGTTATAATGTTTTCCCAGTATGTAATAATTCGTAAACGCTTCCGGCTCTCAAATGAATTATATCTTAATACGGCAAATTGAGATTTAAATGACGTTACATGGATATTTGGATTCTTACTATCATCTATTGAAAAGAAATAGAAAATGATTCTCAAATTCTTTTTTAATATTGGTCCCGTCAACAATATCAATAATTTTATTTTAGTAATTTCAACATTGGGACTTGGGATTATAATAATTTTACACATTTTGGACGTTAATAAGAATAGAAATATAAAAATGACATAAATATATGTTTATGCGATGTAAGGAATTTTAAATATTTGCTGCTTACGTTAGTGAGGGAAATAATTTAATAAAACAACCCTTTTATTGTTTGATAGAAAAAATTGTTTCAAAAAATCAATTTTTATTAAATATAGTAATACATATAATAATTCCAATATCAATATCATATGATTATTTTTAATCAATGATATAAATAAATAATTAATTAATTATAAAACTGAACGTACCAAGAAATATCAAATAAAATATTTAGACACAAAATAAATTCAATTTTGAGTATATATTTAAATAGTGTAATAGCTTCTTGTTGGACATGTTTCTTATATTGTCAATATTATTTCTAAAATAAAAAAAATAAGTAAGCAAGGTAAATACACAATTTATAGCGGGCACTTTCCCTAAAGAGGAGCAGCCAGTCTCAATTCTACCGCTCTTGGTGGAGACTGGATTTTTCACGTAATATTTAGGCGTGGAATTTAAGAGTAAAAAGATGTCATAAATCAAAGAAGCCAATGCTATTTAAGAGCTAGCGAGAGAGCCCACTTCAAATAATTTAAGATACATCTTTTCATTTTCAGTTCCACCAAAAAGGAAAATGGACTTTTAAAATTCTCACCTTTGATTACCAATCATACATCTAGTTATTTGTCTTTTTGTGAAAGGTAAGGTTATTTGTTCATAAAAAATTGTTTAAGTTTCATATTGTAAAAAATAAATAAATAAAATTCTACTTGTGTACTTGTGTAGAAAATTAATTATGATGTGAAAAAAAATTTACTTGGATGAAGGTAAAGTAAGGGTATTTATATAGTTTTTTTTTTGAGGTGTATTTAATGATGATTAACTAATTATACCTGATGCGTCGTGACGCGCCAACGCGGCTGCAAGAAATTGATTAAATTGATTAGTCATGACTCAATATTATAACATACCACAACTCCATCTATATGACCAATATGAGTAAAGAAAGTCTATTTTTCGCAAAAGTGACTATGTCGTGATGTCAGAAGGTCGAAAAAAAAATTGAACAAATATTGAGTATTTACTTGATAAAGCACAGAGGCAAAGAAACCAGTATTTATTCAAATAAAAAATATAGTAGTTTATTATTAAATTACTAAAATGTTGTAAATATTTATTAGTAAAACCAAGAAATTATCAAAAATATTACCATCATTCAAATGAATCGTTAAGGTTAGTAACTATAACACCATCTCTTACTTCATTAAATTTTAAAATAGTGTATTATTCGAAATCATATTATACATCTTTCAAATTAACTTAATTGTTCAATGTTAAAATATATGAAATTTACTACAGTATAACTATTGTATATATAGATCTTATATATAAATCTTTTTTATTAAATAAAAAGAAACATCATAAAAAATTCACCTAAGAGATTATATAGAAATTAATTTTAAAAAAAAGAATTCTAGATCAACTAAGAAATTCTCAAGTCTTAATAATAAACTATTATATAAAGGGTTAAAATATGACTTTATGTTAAGAAATTCTGAATCTTTTATGTAACCGGTTTCTCTTATTTGATGAAAATGTTCCTTTCATCGTTATCGAGAAATGAGGTTTGATTTTTTTTTTAGTTAAGAATTATTATTTTTTTTTTTCTAATATTTTATTTCCGATTTCAACTAATTTAATTCATACTTTGGAAAAAGAATGAATGCAAATTTCGTGTTTCGAAATATTTATTAGTTTACCTCTAAATGGTAACTATATTTTCAGAATTTTACTATTAACCAAATTAAAAGTCATCATCATATTGAAGTCGTACAAACTACATTGAAAATCGATTTGTAAAGAGACGATTTTTTTTTCTGAGAGTTAATAAATACTACGTCTTTAAATATTTATATCCTTGAACTTTGGCAAGGTCAATTAAAAAAATATTTTTTTGTAGAAATTAACTTAATTTTCTATTTTATATTAATTAAATGAAATTCAAGATCTTTTTAATTTTCCAGACACGTATCTAAAACGAAATTTATCTTTTGATCTAACGGCTTGATTTTATCTTAAAAATCTATTTTATGGTTCGAGAATTTGGTAACTAAATTCCAATGAATTAAAGGCGATTAATTATTGAAGATCGAATGAAATAATATCAAAGATGGAATAATATCACACATACTATTCCTTAATTGTGAAAATTTTGGTATAGGTGTATGTGCAGGAATTAGTTAAATTACAGTATTTTAAAAATAATGGGCAACAAATAATAATAATTAATATTAAATAGACAATAGACTAAAATTACAGTCTAATATCGACATCGATAAATTTTTAATAAAAAGCCATTGGAAATTTCCAAAAAAGATATTTGTGTTAGTGTTACTGACGTTCGGTAGGTAGTAACAGAAAGAAATATAAGGATCAGTTAATAAAGAGCAGGGTAATATAACGATATATGACTAACGATAAGGTCAAAGTATATGCGGGTAAACCGTAAACGATAATAAATGATTGTAGACGATAATAAGTGAGGATGGTTGTGTGTATAAAAACGATTAGTTATACGGTGTATATGAATAATTAACAATGTACAACTAAAAATTAACAAATGGTAATAAATGACAATGATAGTGAACAATAATAAACGATAATAAACAAAAATAAACAGTGTGTCAAAAAATGATAAAACGTATATGAGCTATGCGGAAACAGATTGGCAGGTTTTTTATTAACAATTAAACAAAATACGATATTACTGCCTCTCTCAGCGCTCTGTAATATCCGTATATCTATCGGTTGAAAATACAACCTAAACTAATTTATGTTTAACTCTAACTGAACTATTAACTGCACCTCCAACAACGGTCCTTTTTATAACGTTAAGATTTTGGTGCAAATCTGTCTTTTCGACCACCCGGCCATTATCGCCACCCGGCCAATTGTGGCGATCTGGCACATTTGTCTATAAAGCCACTTGTATTCAGCCACCTTCCCACCAGGACCTGGAAAACTATATATAAAGGTTACCGCCAAAAAATCAAAAAAAAATAGGAGTGCGAACCATAATATGATTGGTTGTTTTGCTGTTTACTCACATGTTTCTATTTCAAATATAGTAATAGGGCCAAGAAAGGAAAGATTTTCACAAAAAAATTCTTATTGTTGCGAACCAACACGTGACTTTTACTAATTAATTTGGCGGTGACCTTTTTGAAAATTAATTATAGCCTCGAATCATGTTTGGCGGTAACCCCTATTAGAAGTTTTCCAGGTCCTTTCTCACCGCTAAGCTTCCGGATCACTAAATACCTAAAATAACTAAAAATAACTATACTAAAAATTAACAAATAAAAATAAGAGATAAAAATAGATGAAAATAAAAAAAATAAATATATATCTATAAAAAAATTATCCCGTGACATTAGTATATCAAATTTTCATTAAACTTTTACCGTAACAATCGCTTTTTTTTAATAAAGATAAATTCTTTAGTTTTTATTTATTGTAAATACAGTTTTTATAAATATAAATGTAAAATAAAAACTAATAATAATTAAAAATGTGAAAGTAATTAGTAATCCAAAATATCATCAATAACTAAATGTCAAACCCGATTTCTTTAGTAGTATAATCTATACATATTTAAATAAAAATTAGCAATTTAATTACTAGTACCGTAATTGTTATTGACCGTAATACTATTACTTACCACTGTTGTTAAATTTGCTATTATTAATATTATTATCAATGTCAAATTCAAGTTCTTTTGACAAATAATCTAAAGGAGATAAAATTTGGTTAAATTACGATATTAAAACAAATAAAACTGCGCACAAATAAATTTACCATCGTTTTTGTTTAATTTAATTTTTTTAATGGTTTTATCTAAAATAATTTTTAATAATGAAAAAAAAATAATTATGATCAATTAACTTATTAATAGTTTAATCATTTTTTTTACCAATATTTCCAGTGTCTTCATTCGAATTATTATCATTAATCATTCTTTTACCCTCTTAAAAGAGTTTTGTAAGATTATTAGTATTTAATATTAACAATAAGAAATATTAAATTTAAATAAAAGATACCATTAAAAGGTTTATATCCTAAAAATAAAATAAACATATTACTTTACATTTTTTTTTAAATGATGCAATTAGTAAACTAATTCTTACTTTGAATCTTTAAACTCCTGGTTGATTCTGCAGATTTTATCATTGCACTTAATGGCCTGCTTTTATAGACGGCGTTTGGATTATTTGTTATAGGTCCGATATCTGGTGACTTTATAATTTTAGTTGGGTTTTCAAATTCTGGACCACAATCTAATTTACCATCTTTGACAAAAATCTTAGAGAGATCATTGGCTGTTGGTCTTTTATTTGGATCAGAGTGCCAACATTCTTTCATCAATTCAACATAACCTTTAGGTGCATTTGTAACTACTGGAGGACGAATTCCGTCACATATTTCGATAATAAGTTCTGCATCATGATTTTTATCCCAAAAAGGTCTTCTACCTGTCATTAATTCCCACATAATCATACCAAAACTATATATATCTGAAGCTTTAGTATATTTTTGTCCTTGAAGAACCTCTGGAGCAACATAAGGAATAATTCCATATATCTCATTTTCATCATCCAATGATTCAATTGCTGATTTACTTAATCCTAAATCACCTGTTGTAGCTGAATAAGAATATACAACAAAAATATTTCCACTATGATAATCTTTGTGGATTATATTTGCATCATGTATGTTTTTAAGTCCTGATGCAATATTATGCAAAATACTTAGCTTATTATACCAAATATAATTAAAAAAATCATTAGCTATATAATGTGCTAGATCTCCCATATCATAATATTTTGTAATTATCATAAAATTTTTGGTAATAGGATTTTGGGTAATCCCATAACATATGTTGATATTATTATAGTCACTAATATTCACATAATAATTTTTTCTACTTTTGCGATCCTCTTTAGCATCTTCTTTATCAGGTTTCCATTTTGAGACGAAATTGTAATATATCTTGAGCTAAAAAATAATAAATTCAATAATCTATTTATTGCATCAAAATATTAGTAATATAGAATACTGTACCTCATTTAGCTTCCTAGAATTTATGTTCTCAGAACTATCAAGTTCCTTAAGTGCAACTGTCATTTCACCATAACGATTATACTTTTGTTTTTTTTCATTCCAATCGACTATTGGACCATCAATCCAAGTAGCCTTATAAATTTTGCTAAATCCTCCTTCGGCAATAAATTTTATATCCTTAAATTTTTCATAAGGAACAAATTCCATTCCCCCCTCTTTTTTACAGTAATTAGTTAACGTGAACTTTATAAAATCATCAATAACTTTATTTCCACTTAACGGAATCTTTTTTGCTTTATAACATTGGACGCAAATCTGATCGATTTCATTGAAAACTTTTCTTCTTCGTTTGCATCCATTACATTTCTTATATATTGATTTAAGTGTACTAGTTTGTGTCTGATGATTTAAGGGTACATCGCTCGATATTAAAAAGTCAGTTTTTAATTTATAGTTAGTTTGTTGGTCCATAATTTTTCCGTTTTAAAATTAATTTAGAGAATCCAAAATAAATATCCTATGTTTATATATACTTTTTTTTCTATATAATAATAAACTTTAAAAAATTCTTTATTCGAATATTAAAAATTCCGATTAAAATGAATATATCTTTTTTAGAAATAATCAAAGTTGATATATCTTTTTCTGGTATGTTTTGAATAAGAACTCCGAATCGTATTCCATTGAACCATTCGATGCATATTGAAATTACACAAAAACTTTTTCTAGTATGTTTTGCCGAATATCATGTTTCAGGAACTCCGAAAACGTATTCCATCGAATCATTCGATGCATTGACATGCAGCGTATAAACAATGTCACGTGTCATTCGTGACACGATGAAATTTTGGTTGACAAATAAAATTAAGCAAATTTTGTCTAAAAAATTTCGAGAAAATTAACAAGGTGATATAAATTTTATAAATTATTCAAAGATCATCTCTGCTCTAGAAAAAATATTGTCCAAATACTGTTCGGTTTTTTGTTCGGAAAATCGACCCTGTTCCGGACATTTACTTGACATTCATCATGATATTGTACATTTTTTATGTGGTTAAAAATTCTCAATCTCCGCATCTTGTATTAAATTGTAACAAATATTGTATAATAGCGTACGAGTGTCCAGAAATTGACCCCATTCCGAATATTTATCGGACAAACATTTTTTATAGGGGTGCGGAAATAATCTGTTCACTCGACTATGAAAAAAACTGGATAAACACACTCCAAGCCGGAAATAATCCTAACAATGATAGTAAAATATCTTTCGTCCACTAATCTGACAATCGACACACGATTATACAGTACAGTCAAACCTTTATATAACGATATGTCGGGACATATATGAAATTTTTAGAAAATATCGTTATATCAAAGTTATACCGATATTTATATGTCCTCACATATAGTGGGAAAATAAAATTTTATCTGTATATCAAGTTTTTAATAGTATATCGGTATATCGAATATCGGTATATCGAGGTTAGACTGTATATACGTATATGATTTACGAAAAAAAAACAATACTGAGGGTTCTGATATGGAAGTTTCGTCAGCTTGAATTATTGAAGTCAAATGACAAAAAGGAATTAAAAATTGGAAAATTCTGTAAGAGGTATAATTGCACCCAAATTCAATTAAATTTTAATAGGGGTTTAATTGATATCGAAGGAATGATACGTGATATTTTATGGAGAGGAACTGGATGAATATGAAGAGGCCTAATAATTAAGTGTTGGTCTGCTGAAACTGAAGCTGTACAGTATTAAACTGTGTATAATATTATTACTGAACTTGAATGAAAATAAACTTTAAAATCCCACATTTTACTCTTGTTATTTGATAAGTTAGCATATGTATTTTCTTAATTACACAATTATTGACGTAGTATTCTATTTTGAGACTAGAATTATATATTTTGGCTTATTGATTTAATTAAGAATTCATTATTATAATTTTATTATTATTACTGTTCATAAAAATTTATCTAAAAAAAAAATTAATTACATACAGACAGATACATAATTGATTACCCAATAGAATTTCCATTTTGGCCAGCAGAATTAGCATATAACGTACTTTAATGCCGGCCGGAATTAAGGTTTTAAAAGCAATTAAAGGTCCAACTCACGAATCAAAAGACTGAATTTTATTGAAAAAAATTATTGCTGAATTATTAAAAAAAATATGATTATTAATATATACAACTTTGGAGAACAAATTTTTTTAAATTTTTTTATTGCTCGTAATAAAATTTGATAAATTATAAATTATAAAATAAATACTAAAATTAAGTATTATATTATTATTATTAATAATAAGGATTAAAAAATTTTTTCAATTATTGGCCAAAACATTTTTAAAAATACATCTTTCAATAATTCATGTTGACGTGTTCTATTACAATTTACAAATAGAAAATAATAAAGGTTTACCTAATCTTTTTTCACAACCATTCAAGAATAAATTCAATGCTTCAGTATGATTACAAGACCAATTTTCGGATAACCACTTCATTTTCAAATTTTTTGGTATATTCTTGCTAATTGCTTTCATTACGTTACTTATGTCATAACATAGTGAACCATTACCATTATTATATATATAAATATTCCAACTTTGAACATTTTTGAAAGAATAAAGGTAAAAAATAATAATACCTACAGATGCAAGGTATTCTGTAAGATTAGGACAATACATGATTATTATGGAGATTAATAATGAGAAATTATTTGTATTTGTGTATCTTATGGCGTTATCCAATATAAATATATATACTTGTTAAACTTCCACCCGTATTCTTAATCAAGGTTGATATCTGATAAAGATAAGGAAAATCTAATTGAAGTTGAAGTTCATAATTTTCGAAACTTAGAATTAACAAAATTTCCATAAGATCTTTGCCAAAAGGTTCCACGTGAGCTATTATTAGTTTTTCTAAATTATTGCAGTTTGATACAAACACATTCGACTAAATCAGCTAGCTGCTCCATATATTTTTACTTGTAAAAAAAGAATTTATTTTGCTCAATTTAAACTAAATTTAGTTACACCAGTTGATTCCAATTTTTCAGTGTTATAATATGAATATAGGTTTTCCAGTATATAATAATTCATAAACGTCAAATGAATTATATATTAATACGGCAAATTGAGATTTTAATGACGTTAAATGGATATTTGAATTCCTACTATCGTCTATTGAAAAGGAATAGAAAATGATTCTCAATTCTTTTTTAATATTGGTCCAAATTACTCCTGTCAATAATATCAATAATGTTATGAAAACGAATGAATCTAAATTTCGTGTTTCGAAATATTTAGTTTACCTCTAAATGGTAACTTCATATTTTCAGAATTTCACTATGACCAAATTAAAAATCATTCCATATATATTGAAATCGTACAAACTATAACATTGAAAATCGAATTGCAAAGAGTTGCTTAGTATTTTAGTTAATAAATGACTATGTACTATTTAAATATTTGTATCTTTGAACTTCGGCAAGCTTAGTAAAAAAATATTTTTTTTATCGAAATAAAACTTAATTTCTATTTTATATTAATTAAATGAAAGTTTAAAATCTTTTTAATTTTCCAGACACGTATCTAAAACGAAATTTATCTTTTGATCTAACGGCTTGCCCTGTAAAAAAAGTCAATCCGTTTTTTATATTCCATCTTTTTTCCGTAAAAGACTCATATTTCCGGAATAACCTTATATCACGGAATTTATCGAAATATTTACATTTTCCGTGAATGGATCCGTGAAAGGCTCATTTTACGGAGTTTTTACAGAAATAACGGATAAATTTTTTTATAGAGTTGATTTAACTTAATAATCTAGTATTTCATTGGTTCGAGAATTTGGTAAAGAATAACGTTTAAATTCGAATGAAATAATATCAAAGATGAATTAATGGAGTCTGTATGAATAATATCACACATACTTTAATTGTGAATATTTTGGCGTAGGTGTCGGTAGAAATGGTATGTATGGTTAAATTACAGTATTTCAAAAATAATGCCAACAAAAAATAATAATTAATATTAAATAGACAAAATCACAGTCTAACCTCGTTATCGATAAATTTTTAGTAAAAAGTCATTGGAAATTTCCAAAAGATATTTGAGTTAATATATCAAATTTCAATTGATAAGAATTAAACGATTACCGTAATAGTCGTGATTAATTACCCAAATCGCTTTTTTTATAATAAAGGCAAATTTTTTAGTCTATTTATTGTAAATATAACCTTTATAAATAATATAAATGTAAAATAAAAACTAATAATAATTATATGTGAAAGTAATTAATCTAAAACATCATCAATAACTAAATGTCAAAACCGATTCTTTGGTAGTATAATCTACACATATTTTAAATGAAAATTAGCGATTTAATTACTAGTAATTGTTATTAATCGTAATACTATTACTTACCACTGTCGTTAAATTTATTAAATTTGCTAATATCAATATTATTATCAATGTCAAATTCAAGTTCTTTTGACAAATAATCTAAAGGAGATAAAATTTGGTTAAATTAGTACGATATTAAACAAATAAAACCACGCAAAAAATAAATTTACCATCGTTTTTGTTTAATTTAATTTTTTTAATGATTTTATCTAAAATAATTTTTAATAATAAAAAAAAAAATTATAAATAATATGATCAATTAACTTATTAATAGTTTAATAATTTTTTTTTACCACTATTTCCAGTGTCTTCAATCAAATTATCATCACGTTTTCTTTTATCCTCTTAAAAGAGATTTGTAAGATTATTAGTATTTAGATAATAACAATAAGAAATCAAACTTGATTATTAAATTTAAATAAAAGATACCATTAAAAGGTTTATATCCTAAAATAAAATAAACATGTTACTTCACATTTTTTTTAAATAGTGCAATTAGTAAATTAATTCTTACTTTGAATCTTTAAACTCCTGGTTGATTCTGCAGATTTTATCATTGCACTTAATGATCTGCTTTTATAGATGGCATTTGGATTATTTGTTATAGGTCCAATATCTGGTGACTTTATAATTTCGATTCCAAGATGTTTCCGAAAACATAATTTACCGCCATCTTCGTTAAAAATCTTAGAGAGATCATTGGCTGTTGGTCTTTTATTTGGATCAGAGTGCCAACATTCTTTCATCAATTCAACATAACCTTCAGGTGCATTTGTAACAATTGGAGGACGAACTCCATCACATATTTCGATAATAAGTTCTGTGTCATGATCATGATCCCAGAAAGGTCTTCTACCTGTCTCTTATACACATCTAGATGTGTATAAGAGACAGCCATCACATATTTCGATAATAAGTTCTGTGTCATGATTTTTATCCCAAAAAGGTCTTCTACCTGTCATTAATTCCCACATAATCATACCAAAACTATATATATCTGAAGCTTTTGTATATTTTTGTCCTTGAAGAACCTATGGAGCAACATAAGGAATAATTCCATATATCTCATTTTCATCATCAGATGATTCAATTGCTGATTTACTTAATCCTAAATCACCTATTGTTGGACCTTTTTATTCTATAAGAATGTTTCCACTATGATAATCTTTGTGGATTATATTTGCATCATGGATGTTCTCAAGTCCCGATGAAATAAATAACAAATTACCTAGCTTACTATACCAAGGATAATTAAAAAAGTTATCAGCTATATAATGTGCCAGGTCTCCAGATTCATAATATTTTGTAATTATCATAAAATTTTTGGTAATAGGATTTTGGGTAATTCCATAACATATGTTGATATAATTATGATCATTAATGTTCACATAATAATATTCTTTATTAGATATGCGATGACTTTTGGAATTTTTATTAGGTTTCCATTTTGAAACGAAATCGTAATATACCTTGAGCTAACAAAAAAATAATTCAATTATTTATTGAAAAAAATTAATAATTTCGATTTATATGGAATACTGTACCTCATTTAGCTCCCTAGAATTTATGCTCTCAGAATTATTAAGTTCCTTAAGTGCAACTGTCATTTCACCATAATAATCATACTTTTGATTTTCTTCATTCCAATCAATTATTGGACCATCAATCCAAGTAGCCTTATAAATTTGGCTGAATCCTCCTTCGGCAATAAATTTTATATCTTTAAATTTTTCATAAGGAACAAATTCCATTCCCCCCTCTTTTTTACAGTAATTAGTTAACGTGAACTTTATAAAATCATCAATAACTTTATTTCCACTTAACGGAATCTTTTTTGCTTTATAACATTGGTAGCAAATCTGACCAATTTTATTGAAAACTTTTCTTCTTCGTTTGCATCCATTACACTTCTTAAATATTGGTTCAAGTGTAGTTTGTGTCGGATGATTTAAATGTACATCACTCGATATTAAAAAGTCGATTTTTAATTTATAGTTAGTTTGTTGGTCCATAATTTTTCCGTTTTTAAAATCAATTTAGAGAATCCAAAATAAAAATCCTATGTTTATATATACTTTTTTTTTAAAAAAGAATTCTTTATTCGAATATAAAAAATTCCGATTAAATGAATATATCTTTTTTAGAAACAATCAAACTTGATTTTTAACATTCAACTTTTTCTAGTATGCTTTGAATACATGTTTCAGGAATTCCGAAATTGTATTCCATCGAATAATTCGATGCATACTGAAACTTTAAAAACGTATTCCATCGAACCATTCGATACATACCGAAATTACGTAAATTTACATTTTACATTGTTACATTCCACAATAAATAATGTCACGTGACATTCGTAATTTTTGGTTGACAAATTATATTAGGTTTTCTTATATTATTTATTGATAACTTATAATTTATAATAAATGTAATTTAGAAAATGTCATTTGTCTAATATACGAATGAGCAAATGTTTTGAGAAATTCTACCATACAATAAGAAATTACCATTTTTTTTTATTTTTGTTATTTAATAAGCTGAGCATATGTATTTTTTTAATTACACGATTATTGAACGTTAAAAAATATAACTTTGCTAGAAATTTTTTTCACTGTTCAAAATTATATTAAAACTCCCTTAATCTCTTTTTTTTTATAACTTTATATAATAATATGAACAAAATGAGCGAGTTGATATATTAAATTCTTATTTATCAAATCAAAGATATTTTTTTTTTTTTTCAAATAAATTCAAACTTCGAAAAGCAAACATACTAATATAGTTGAATGTTTAGATTTTTTCTTCAATTTTTACCAAAATCTTGATTTATTAATTTTTTAATTTGTTAAATGTATATTATATTTACAAGTCTATGGCTGGAAAGCTTTTTTTTTCATATTTTAACAAGTAATTTTAAATGAAAAATTGATATCACCTCATACATGAATCATAAGTTCTTTAAAATTACATTGTCTAAAAAAAAAAAAATTTAATGCAAAATCTTTCAAATTTGTTGTGATATCATTTTGCGTACTTGAGATTTGAGAGAAAAATTTATCCACATGACTCACATGAGACGATGACTCATTATAAGTTTATAAATCCGATAATATAATTGTTTATAATCAGCTAGGCACGAAAATCTGAGTACAGTTCACGAAAAAATACCGAATATGCAGTACTTTTCTAACATATATATATATATTTTCTGTTTGTTTTATTAGCAGCATCGATGAAAAAAATATATTTGCGAGAAAAAAAGTGTCGCAAATAGATAATTATTCAAATTGCGACTTTATGAAATGCCGCATAATTCACTTAATCCCACCCCTACGCATCGCTAATAATCATCTCAAATTTTTTCGCTCACGATAAACTAATTTCTTTCATTTTTCGTTACAAATTGATTGGGACCTTCATCAGAAATCAAAAAAAATCCTAAATATCCTTTAATCATCATAAATATAACATTATACTTGAACATTATTATAAACTATTAAATTCATCTTGGAACTACGAATAAATTATACGTGATTTATTTACTAAAACATTTTTTTTTTAAAAAAAAAAAAACGTATAAAAAAAATAGTGATAAAAGTACAAAGTGAATATGATGAACCCTAAATGATTAATTATACAAACCTAAATTACATTTAAATAATTATATAACAATAATCCAAATCAGCCGCATTAGCCCAATATATATATATAAATTCTAATTAATTTTTTTTTTTAAACTACATATATATATATATACGTATACATACATATATAAATAAAAAGATTGTCCATTATTATTATGTTTTTTTTTTTTAATTACAAAATGTCTAATAACCACCACCACCACCATAAAAATTATTTGGATTATAATAATTCTGAGGAGGAGAAGGGGAATTTCTTGGATAACTAGGATCAATACCAGGAGAATTTGTTCTAGAATGATGTGGTTGTTGATAAGGAACTCTATTAGGAGGTGGACGTGGATAAGGTGGTTGAAATGGTTGTTGATAAGGAGTTTGTTGTGGTTGTGGAGGGAAATAACCTTGCTGTGATGCAGGTGGAGGAGATGAATTATTATAACGTGGACCATTATGATATGGGGCGCCACCAGAATATGGTTGTGATGAAGGAGAATATTGTTGTGGTGGAGGAGGAGGACGATTATATTGTTGTTGTTGCTGTTGATACTGATGCTGCTGTTGTTGATGGTGATGTTGTGGATGATGTTGTTGTGGATGATGATGTTGTTGTTGATGTTGTTGTTGATGTGGATTTTGTACAGTACCAGGAGGAGGGAATAAACCAGTATGACTTGTAGGATTATAATCAGCGTTTGGTAATGATGAAACAGGAGTTCCGCTTCCTGGAGCAGGATGATGAACAGTCATTTGTTCGTGAATTGAAACATCATCAAATGATTGGGGTTTTGCTTTTTGTTTAGGTGCTCTTGATCTCTTTGAATTCCAATACCAAATTAATAAACCTAAAACTATAAGGAATGATATACTTGTAAATATTCCTATTAAGACTTTTTTCGCTGTACCAGCAGTATCATTCTTATCCGATAATGATTGATCTTTTATTGGTGGACCAAATATGAAACCAAAATTTCGACAAGATCTTTGATAATCTTCAAAGTTTGCCGTCTTTATATTAGGATTTTCATTTGAAAAACATGTTGATATACAAGATGATAGCGTATCATACGCTTCTTGATTACACATACAACTCGCAGTAGCACTATCTAAAAAAATAGAAGAAAGTTAATATTTTTTTTTCAAAATAAATTTAAATCCATAAAAATAACAACGACGACAACAATAAAAAAAAAAAAAAAAAAAATTCTTATACTATCAACTATATTCTAATGATGAGACATTACTAGGAGGAGGACCGAATTTCGTATCACAAGGAGCCAATAAATCATTTAATTTTACGCAAGGAGAACCATCTTGAGTCGAACAAGTTTCTGGATCTTGTGCTTGAACAAAATTTTTTGAATTTACTACCAGTAGTAAAATTAATACAAAAAATTTGTTCATACTTTTCTTTCTTTTTTTTTTAAAAAAAAAAAACCTGTTAAAACTTTACAAATAAAAAAAATATTTAAAATAGTTTAGTTTATAGAATAAAATAAAAAGGTGTAAAGGTCGTCGTTTTTTTGAAATCTCGAGTTCTTTTGTTAATTCCGAACATGTATATGTTTAATATAGTTTGTGAACTATTTTTTTCTCAACGAAGAGAAGTTAAATAAGCGTGAATTTTTTTTTTAAAACTTGTTTTTCATAAACGATAATTTTCATACAAGAACGGAACGAAGGAAGAAAGAAGACAGGTTAAGTTTACGGAGGAGACTGAAAAAAAATTTTTTTATTAAGCAAATAAAAGTGAATTGCTCTAAAAAGAGTTGTGTCAAAAAAAAAAATAACATGCATATTATGCATCTCCTCATTAAGCACCTTACCATATTAATATACGACTAGATTCGATTACACCAATTTAGATTGTTTGTTTATCAGTAATGTAATGATTACAAAACTGTACAACACACCCCAGCTTAAAATCCTTGAAACGGAATTTGCCGGTGAGCACAAAAGTGGTAAATCAAATCTTTTTCAAAAAAAAAAAGGCACCTATTTGTTGTGTGCTATTTATAGATTCCCCTTAGCAGAATTTATAAATGATGACCATCAGGAATTAAGTTTTCCTGAATTTCACCATTTCCAAAAATAAATTTATTGCATAAAAATAATTAATATTTTATTACAATGAACCAATAAACCAATTGAAGATGCACAAAAGAAATAAAGATAATATAAATTTTACAAAGAACTAAAAATTTTATATGTATAAAATATAAGAGTAATGAAGATTCTTGCGGGTGTTGATTCGATGATCTTTTTTTTGGAGGCAAATTTTCCGAATAGAACAAATAAATTTAAATCCGGTTCTTGTTTATTTGATTTACAGACCCTCATTTTTAAGATATCTATTATTAATAGATGATATTAAGATTTCGGAATAAAGTAGGGGAGGTAGCACAAGTTTTGTAATCTGCGGATTTTACATGTATTTATAAAAAAAAAAAAAAAAAAAAAAGATTATTACAATAATGATATCATATTGTGGTACTATAAATATTACAATAATGTAATTCAGATAATAACAAATTCGTGGTTACAAAAACAAGAGTTTTCTTTCTTTTTTTTTAAAGAAAAAAATATATATATAATAATAGGGATACACAATTTTTCGTGACCTTGTTTGTTTTTATTTGCCCGATTCTGTAACCCGGAATTTTTTATATTTTGCATCTGCTGATATGAAAATCAAAAATGTTTTACTAATAATATCATAAATAATAAGATATAAATGGTATAATGAAAAATTAAATTAATTTTAATTAAATTTTTTAATAAATCTAAACCAAGTAAAATCATTAATATTATTAAAATAAATAGTAAACACGTTTTAAATATTATTAATTGTGTTTTTATTTTGGAATTATCTTTTCAATATAAACTTATTTCATTATGAAATTATTCAAAAAAGGTAACATTTTTGTGACATTATTTAAAAAGGTAATATTTTTGTAATATGAATAATAGAGTAATTTGACGCCAAGATAATCGGGATATTTTTTTTTTTTTTCATATTTAAATAAAATCTTGATCTTTGCAATGACTTTCTAAAATTAAATAAACTAGGACAGTCGAATATTCGAAATATTTGAGATACTGTATATATCAGATATATAAATAGTAATACCCAAAGTCTATAGTAATAGTAAATGTAATAAATTTTAAAACGTAATGAGAAATAGCACTAACATTTGTTTCACAAAAATTACAAAATTGCATAATGTCAACAAACGGTATATTTTCCGCTAGAAACCTTCTCGTAAAAATAGTATAGTACGTTATTTAGTATTATTATGTACTTCTGATACACATAATATAAATAAATATGTAGACGTACTGAAAATGTCATTGAAGAAGAATTTGTGTAACCATAATCGAATAATGATTAATGAATAATGATCAAAAAAAGGACGTTATTATTTCATTTTTTAGGTAATTTATTAAAACTTACCATAAACATAATTAGTTACGATATTATTATTATGATTTTAAACTATTTCTTAAATAAATTAAGTTATTGTCAATTTTATACAAAGTTCAAAGAAAAAATTGTTAAATTACTTCATAAATTATGATTTTCCACTGACTTTTAGTAATTATTATGAAAGGGTTACATGAAAATCATAGTAGTAAAATTTATATTTTCCCAAATAAGCTAAAATTTAGGTATAAAAAATCAAAAAATAAAATGGAAATGAAATATGGTACCCTGTTAGGTTTTTTAATAGAAATTTTATGTTTAAAATTCTTTATGAATATTTCAGGGGTCACTTCGAAGGTAAAATTCATATCTATGTTAGAATCATATAATAAGGAATATATTTTATTCTTTTTTGAATAATAAAAATAAGAAATTTGTACACGTTTTTTTTTTTTGTTATATTAATTTAGGAAATTATGAATAACTCCTATTTTTCTTTTCATTTTCGGCCAAGAATTAAATATATTTAAGTAAATAGTGGTGGTTGATCATTACATTATCTTACCGTTCTGGTCAAACTTAAGTTTACTATCAATTACTAAAAATGAAATTTATTAAACATGACTGACTGAAATATATGTATCTGTAAAATAATAGGTGAATATTTACAGTAATTTTATTCCTTGAAGGCTAACTTACAAGGAGATCCAAAATCCGTCCATCCGAATAATTCGATGCATCATCCGTTATTCTGTAGGTAAATCCGGATTTATCCATCAGATGAATCTGTTATCCATTATTATCCGTTGATATAATAAGGAAATATCAATACTCATCTTTTTAACAGTTTTAAAAAGTCTCAAAAATTGTGAAGGTATAGTCATGTGATTTTAAATGCCGGCCAGCACTATTGATGTTCTGCCAACACTATGATTAACTTCGGGATATCCGGATATTCATGATCGAATATACGGGCTTTCCGGCTATCGGGTTATCTACGGTTATCCCGATCGTACATTTATAAAAAAGAAAAATGAATAGATCAGCGTAATCTTTTATTAAAGCCTAAAATTTTTTCGTAATAAAAAAAGTTAAAGGGTGAACAATATTAAAATAATGTAACTAAGAGAACTTCAAGATTTTTAACTAAATACAAGAAGTAATTAATAAAAGTATTGATGACATTTCCAAAGAAGTGTTGCTCATCCAAATACTGTAAATATGGATTTCGTTCTAAATGTGTCATAATTTAATAATAAAGAATTTAGTTAGTTTAAATTATATAAAATTATCACATATTAAATAAATAATATTGTCAACTTTTGTGATCCTAAACGATTTCATTTATATAAAGGGTGGAATAACGAAAAGCAAGAATGATTTATACGTTCAGCCATTATATATTATAAAATATATCGAATAACTTAAGATACTAAAATATTTTAATACTAAAATAATTACAGTATACGATATGATACTATAGTTTGCGTATAATTATTAGTCGCACAAATTGTGATTATTGAAGTAAATCTTTCTATCATTTTAATCGAACTTCCCATATCATTAAGATATCCCTTGAAGTTCCTGCTGCTATTGAAATGTAGGCAGTGCACGAAATTTAAGTCGAATGTTTCATGCGCAAATGTGCAACAAAAAGTCACGTGCAATTTGCGTAAAATTTTTTCAAACAAAATAAATGATATTATTAACTATTAAACATAATAAATTTATTTGATAATTATAGTATTATACTGCAGTACTGCAAATTCACAAATTATAACTCAATTTATATTGTTTAATTTAATAATACAATGGGTAATTATGTGTTTCAGAATATGCGCAAATTTTAAGGGTTGCGCAATGCGCAGATCGGAATCAAAGCATCAAAAATGTAATCTGCGGAAGTAATCTGCGGAAATTAAAAATCAAAGGTTGCGCTCCGCAGATTCCGCAAATAGATTAAATATAGGTATTTATAATTTTAATTTTGTTTACAAAAATGTTTTCACTATCAAATTCTTTTTTAAGTTTGTTAACGGAGTTCTCGGAAAATTTGTTTCGGAATTTATTAAGATTTTATTAAAATTTCCGGTTTAAAATATTTAAAATATTTCTATAAAAAGGTTCTAAAACCATATATATAGAATTTAAACTTTCGAATAATTAATAGCTATCATATACTATTAATAAAAGTATATAAAGAAACAAATTTTCACGAATCATTTTTGAAATTAAAATTATGGATCAATCAAATAAATCGAATAAAACATCATTAATTAATAATCAAAAACAAAACATATTTACACCAATTCTTATATATAGGAAATGTAATGAATGTAATAAAAATAGAAAAAAATTCGATAAAACTCAACAAATATGTCACTTATGTATTAAAGCAAAAACTATTCCATTAAGTGGAAATAAAGTTATTGATGATTTTATAAGGTACACGCAAACTAATAATTATGAAAAAGATAGAAGAATGGAATTTGTTCCTTTTGATAATTTTAAAGATGTATCATTTGTTGCTGAAGGAGGTTTTAGTAAAATTTATAAGGCCATATGGATTAATGGTCCAATAACTAATTGGAGTGAGAAAAAACAAAAGTATAATCGTAGGAAAAATATGACAGTTGCTCTCAAGGAACTTAATAATTCTAAAAATCTTAATTCCAAAGAATTAAATGAGGTATTTTACATATTATGATACTTATATTGATCATTAATTTCAATGTAAAATAACTATACTTTTTTTTTATTTAGTTAAAAATATATTATTCTTGTAAATATAGAACTGCATATATCAATAAATATTATGGAGTAACTCAAAATCCTGCTACCAAAAATTTTATGATAATTACAAATTATTATGAGTTAGGAGATCTTACACGCTATATAACCAATAATTTTTTTAATATTACTTGGAAAGATAAGCTAAGTAAATTATTTGATATTATTACTGGACTTAAACTTATACATGATTCACATATTATTCACAAAGATTATCATAGCGGAAATATTTTTATTAATCCATCAGCAATAACAGGTGATCTAGGATTAAGCAAATCATCGTTAGGAAATGATGAGGATAACGATATATATGGTATTGTTCCATATGTTGCTTCTGAGGTTCTTCGAGAACAAAAATATACCAAAGCTTCAGATATATTTAGTTTTGGCATGATTATGTGGGAATTAATGACAGGTAGAAGACCTTTTCGGGATAAAAATCACGATGCAGAACTTATTATCGAAATATGCGATGGAGTTCGTCCTCCGATTGTTACAAATGTACCTGAAGGTTATATTGAATTAATGCATCAATGTTGGCACTCTGACCCAAATGAAGACCAACAGCCAATGATCTTTGTAAGATTTTTGAACGTAATAGTAAATTAGGTTATCGACGTGAAGAGAGCAATCCAACTAAGATTGCCGAGTCACCAGATATTGGACCTGCCACAGCAAATAATCCAGATGCCATCTATAGAAGCAGATCTTTAAGTGCAATGATAAAATCTGCTGAATCTACAAGAAGTTTGGAAAGTCAAAATATTCGTCTAAAATTCGGTAGGTAATTTATCCTTTAAATTTACTGTACAATTATTAAATTTTAACATACATTTTATTATATAACCTTAGAAGGCAAAAGAAAGTTTAATGATAGTTTATTTAAAGGTAGAGTATAATAAACATTTTTTCATTATATAACTGAAATACTTAAATCTTTGAATTAATTAATTTTATTTTTATTAAAAAAAAAGCAGATGAAATTAATAAAAAAATCAAATTACCTGAAAATAATGGTAAGATATTAATTATTTTAGATATATGTTTTTATGAGATATACTATATATTGTCATAAATTATGTTATCCATCGACGACAGAACTTGAATTAGGTATAGATATTGATATTGATATTCAATCTAACAATAATGGTATGTTTAAACTATCGCTTATTAACATATAATTAAATTTATTATTTCATGAATCAAATTTTTATAATTTGTAGATTATATTACTGAAGAAATTAATTTTGATATTGACATCCCGGCGGGTTGAAATTGTTAAAACAATCAGTTTTTTCAAATATATTATTTTTTTTTTTTTAAAAAATAAAAAATTATATACTGTAAATAAGATTATGATATAAATTTCAATTCTTTAAATATGTATAAATCAGTGTAAATTAGCATTTTTTAATCTAAAATAACTAGGTATGAACCAGAATAAAAGGAATCATTTATAATTGCCATGCATCATCATCTTCAAGTTACAAAATTCTTTTAATTTGATCGGTTTCATTTACGATCTATGTTAAGATCTTTCAAATTATAAATTCTAGCAATATTAACACTTTAATACACAACCTAGTTTATGGTTAACATTATAACTATCATTCTTTTAATTAGTACTTCGATTCAAGTGAAATTTGCCATCTAGTAAGTTAAATAATGATTTAATCTGGATGGATGAAACTTTGTTTAATGATAATCTGAATAAAACCATTATATTAAAATTTTAGTCTTATCAACATTAAATACTATTAAATATGACGTTAATAGTTAAAATCTGATTATTAGTTTCAAAAATAATTTTAAATTTAACGTTCCAGATGAATCCTGACAAAATCTGGTCCAAACCACAAATTTAAATATTAATTTTCAGTTTAATGCAGATCAATCCAATGAATTGACCTCAATGACCTGTCTAAAAAATTGTCACTAATAAGATCTCATTACAACCTTCCCAAAACATTCATAATTATTATAGTTGATATCTTGATAAGTAATATCTTGATGATTTTATTTTTAGGTATGAGAGTAAATTATTAATCATTGTCGTATACAACATACAATAAATATTATTATCAATAGTGTTGTAGATTGCAGATTTATTATTTTGTACATTATTCTAGAAATTTTTTCGATAATGGTGTGTGTTAGCCGAAAAATAATTAGCCGCAACGTAATCCGGACCCAGCTCAGGTGTATATCGTGCGTCGTGGAATTCCAGGGGATTTTCTGTGGTTAAACCGGATCCGGATGATCGGCAGTCAGGAATTCGGCTCCGTTTCGGCTAACTACACCATTATAATTTTTCGCGGCTTTTTTCAAGTTTAATTTTGGTCGGAATTTCAAGATTTTTTTAGCGAAAATTAATGATAGTTATTATTTGGTAGGGACTCTCCACATTCGGTTTATGATACTTAATTACTATAGTTTCAGGCCTTTTACTTGGCTCACCTTCTTCATCTTACGGTGGATTAATTACCACCCACAACTTGCGTTAAATATCACCGAACTGTGAAGCAGTTCGGATAATATTCTATTAACGTATAATATTTTACCTGTAAAATTCAATATATGATATTTAATCTAAATGACATAATGCGTCAAGATATTTATGCAATAGTAATTTATTTGTACCTTAATCTAAAAGATATCAATATATCAAAAACAGCATGATCCTATTTGGCTGCATATAACAAATATAATATTTAGTTTACGAATCACGCATCACACTTCAGTAAGCGTAAGTGCGTAACAATTGATAATTACTGCGCAACTTGAACAATTTCATATACGAAATTTTATTTTTTTTTTGCCTAGGGAACTTCTTGCGAATGTTACTACTATCAAATTTGTTTTGTTTCGAAGTAATTTGAATTTTGAAATTTTGGAATTTCGTTTAAAAATATTTTATAAAAAGTTAGTTCATCACGCAACCTGATTATAGCATCATAATTATATGATGACGAAGAGAGAGTTTTCCTTTTTGTTGAAAATGTATTTATAGGTTATTGTTCCATCGTATATATTATATTTATAATTTATTGTATACATAATTGTATTTGTTGTATGTGTTGTCTTTGGCGTATTTGGCGTTAAAGTTTGCAAAGTAATACATACTAATTTATATTAGTACCATTTCTCTTTTTTTATATGTTGTGGAGATAAAAAAAAATTCTTAGGTTATTATTTATAAAGATAAGGCGAAAATCTTTAGGTTATAATTATTCTGAAACGTTTAGAAAAAAATCTAATGCAAGATAAAATTATATTTTTTTACTTGTTACTAATTCGTTGTTATAATTTGGTTCGTTAATCGAACGTTTTAAAGTTTTAAGAGAGTAAGCTGTTTTTGTTCATGAATAGGAGAAAAAAAGAATTATTCAATAAGAGATTAGAAGGAAAGGATTTTTCTTTAGCTTATTTTCCTTTGTATTTGTTTTACTTTTTCAATTTTGAGAAAGAAATTTAGTTATAGTAGGTAATAAATAAAATAAAAAAAGTAAACTTAAGAGGACCCAGCAGCGTAAAATAATGTGTAGATCCTTCCTTCTTTGGATAATTCCAGGCGACATTATGTAATTCCGGCCCTGAAGAGGTGCGTAGAGCTAATAGTAAATCTCTTGTTGCCTATTTATATATTACTGTTAGCATAAGATGCAGTATTTACAGTATTAGGTATTAATGGTATTTAAGCTCAAATAAAGAATTCTTTAATAAATATCTTATATTATTAGTAAAGGAAAAAAGTATATATAGGAATAAGATTTTACAAATCCATAAATTTAAATTTTAAAATTATGGATCAATCGAATAATATAAATCATTAATTAATCAAAAACAAAACATGCCTAATCCAATTCTTACATATAATAAATGCAATGAATTTAATAAATAATTAAAGCAAAAATTATCCTATAAGTGAAACTAAGAATTTAAGTCACATAAAACCTTGACCTATAATCATTATTCATATTTTACTTACAATATAAAATAATTCATCAATCTTAATTAGAAAAGGGATCATAGAGAGTATAACCTAAGTTGTTTCGGAAAGCATTAATGATACAACTTCAGTAAACGAATTTTATGATAATATAACTATTACAATTTATAAGAAATAATGATTATAATATTACTCCAAGGCAATAATATTAATAAAATTTTGAAGTATAGGTTTAAATGAAAAATAAAAATATAAATGAAACTTAGTTTCATATCATACTTGTATTTAATCATATTTGGTTCTATTTACTTTATTGTAAAAACTGTAAAAGTACATACTAATAAAAATCTTTTCCATAACAGAAAGATAATCCAACAAATTAACAGAATTATTAATTCTTAATTATACATTCCAAGCATTCAGAATCTTCTCGAACTAAAATTTCAGTAAGTTGCGACTTGTATAATATGCTTGTGAATGATTTTGTGTAATATAAGCTTTTGTTTGTTCCTGTACTAAAGCTTTGTTCGCTTCTACAAATTCCAACATATCATTTTTTAATTGATTATCAATGTTAAATACTTCATACTTATAATTTCCATCCCTATTTATTCTATAATATTCACTAATAGATCTAATCCATTCAGTTATAATACTTTCAAGCATTATTATGGTTGGTCTATTGGAAGGATTTGAATCCCAACATTTTTTCATTAAATCTATATAACATTTTGGAGTATTTTTTATAATTTCAGGACGTTCCCCTCTACAAATACTCAAGCTAAGGTGATGATCATGTGCTTCATGATTAAATGGAGGAATACCCGATGTAAACTCCCATATTATCATTGAAAAACTATAAATATCACTTGCTGGAGTATAGGGTTTTTTTCTTAATATTTCAGGCGCCATATAAGGTAAAACTCCATAAATTTCATTAACTTTTATATTATCAGAATCTTGTGAATCACTTATAGGTTTACATAATCCTAAATCAATAATAAATAACTCATTGTAATTATCTGACATTAAAATATTACCATCATGAAAATCACCATGAGTTAAATTTGATTCATGAATTACTTTAAGTCCTAATATAATTTTTTTCAATAATTTTAACTTGTCTTGCCACTTAAATTTAACTATATCAGATAAACATTTTCTCAAACTTCCTTTTTTTGCATAACTCATTACTATTATATAATTTAAATTATTTGGATCTTGGGTAATTCCAAAGAATTGAATAAATTTTGAAAATGATTTTTTCTGACAATTATAATGATATTTCCACTATACATATAATGATAAAAAAATCGTTAGATTTTTGAAAAAAAAAAATTTACTATTAAATATAAGTACTATACCTCATCCAAAAATTTAGTATTTAAACTTGATGAATTATTAAGTGATTTAAGAATGACCTCATAACCTATTTGCCTATTCCATTGTTGCTTGTCAAAATTCCAACTATAAATAGGTCCATCTAGCCAGATAGCTTTATAAATTTCGCTAAATCCTCCTTTATCAAAATAATTGACATTTGACAATTTATTATAAGGTATCCACTCTAAAATTTCGTAGCTGTTTTTAGCATTTATTTGTGCTTCTTGAATAAATTTATCAATAAATTCATTTTCACTAGACCACTTTGAAAAATCTTGTTGAAATTGTTTAGTATTACATTGTTGGCACCACTGGTAATCAGTATATGGTTGCTTGCATTTATCACATAATTCAACACCATTTTTAGGGTTCATTTTGTTACTTTCTACTGCTTTTTGATGCCAATAAAAGGCTCTTTCTAAATTATTTCCTGTTCCTTGTCCATCTTTATAGCATATGGCTAAACTAAACATTGCATTTTCATCCCCATTTTCTGCTGCTTTTTGATACCAATAAAAGGCTCTTTCTAAATTCTTTTCTGTTCCTTGTCCATCTTTATAGCATATGGCTAAATCAAACATTGCTTCTTTAACACCAAATTCTGCTGCTTTTTGGTACCAATAAAAGGATTTTTCTAAATTCTTTTCTGTTCCTTCACCATTATTATAACGTATGGCTAAATTAAACATTGCATTTTCATAACCATTTTCTGCTGCTTTTTGAAACCAATAAGAGAATTTTTCTAAGTTCTTTACTGTTCCTTTTCCATTTTTATAACATATGCCTAAATTAAACATTGCTTCTTTAATACCATTTTCTGCTGCTTTTTGATACCAATAAAAAGCTTTTTCTAAGTTCTTTTCTGTTCCTTCTCCATTAGAATAACATACAGCTAAATTAAGCATTGCTTCTTTAACACTATTTTCTGCTGCTTTTTGATACCAATAAAAAGCTTTTTCTAAATTCTTTTCTGTTCCTTCACCATTTTTATAGCATATGCCTAAATTAAACATTGCATTTTCATTATCATCTTCTGTTGCTTTTTGATACCAATAAAATGCTTTTTCTAAATTCTTTTCTGTTCCTTCTCCATTTTCATAACATATACCTAAATTAAACATTGCTTCTTTAACACCAATTTCTGCTGCTTCTTGATACCAATAAAATGCTTTTTCTAAATTCTTTTCTGTTCCTTTTCCATTTTTATAGCATACGGCTAAATTATTTATTGCTTCTTTAACACCATTTTCTACTGCTTTTTGATACCAATAAAAGGTTTTTTCTAAGTTTTTTTCTGTTGCTTCTCCATTTTCGTAACATATGCCTAAATAATACATTGCATTTTCATCACCATTTTCTGCTGATTTTTGAAACCAATAAAATGCTTTTTCTAAATTCTTTTCTGTTCCTTCTCCATTATTATAATATATGGCTAAATAATACATTGCTTTTTTATTACTATTTTCTGCTGCTTTTTGATACCAATAAAAGGCTTTTCCTAAATTCTTTTCTGTTCCTTCTCCATCTTCATAACATACGGCTAAACTAAACATTGCATTTTCATAACCATTTTCTGCTGATTTTTGATACCAATAAAAGGCTTTTTCTAAATTCTTTTCTATTCCTTCTCCATTTCCATAACATACGGCTAAACCAAACATTGCTTCTTTAACACCATTTTCTGCTGCTTTTTGAAACCAATAAGGCGACACAAAGTGGTAAAAATGGTTTTCATGGTCCGGCCGGGTCAGTTTTGTTAAGTCTTAAAAAAAAATTTTTTATATTATTACTATGCCGGGTGAGAATTTTTTAAAAATTGAAAAAAATTTTCGCATATAAAATTTTTGAAAAAAAAAATTAAAAGCCGGGTTGCCGGGTTATTGATGAAATTTTTATATTATGAAAACCATAAAATCAAGTTTGTATGGCCTAAAAGGCTTTTTCTAAATTCTTTTCTGTTCCTTCTCCATTATTATAATATATGGCTAAATAATACATTGCTTTTTTATTACTATTTTCTGCTGCTTTTTGATACCAATAAAAGGCTTTTCCTAAATTCTTTTCTGTTCCTTCTCCATCTTCATAACATACGGCTAAACTAAACATTGCATTTTCATAACCATTTTCTGCTGATTTTTGATACCAATAAAAGGCTTTTTCTAAATTCTTTTCTATTCCTTCTCCATTTCCATAACATACGGCTAAACCAAACATTGCTTCTTTAACACCATTTTCTGCTGCTTTTTGAAACCAATAAAAGGCTTTTTTAAAATTCTTTTCTGTTCCTTTTCCAACTCCATAACACATGGCTAAACAAAATATTGCATTTTCATTACCATTTTCTGCTGCTTTTTGATACCAATAAAAGGCTTTCTCCAAATTCTTTTCTGTTCCTTTTCCAACTTCATAACATATGGCTAAANCCAACTCCATAACACATGGCTAAACAAAATATTGCATTTTCATTACCATTTTCTGCTGCTTTTTGATACCAATAAAAGGCTTTCTCCAAATTCTTTTCTGTTCCTTTTCCAACTTCATAACATATGGCTAAAATAAACATTGCATTTTCATAACCATTTTCTGCTGCTTTTTGATACCAATAAAAGGATTTTTCTAAATTCTTTTCTGTTCCTTTTCCATCTTCATAACATATGGCTAAACTAAACATTGCATTTTCATCATCATTTTTTGCTGCTTATTGATACCAATAAAAGGCTTTTTCTAAATTCTTTTCTGTCACTTCTCCATCTTAATAACATATAGCTAAATTAAACATTGCATTTTCATCACCATTTTCTGCTGATTTTTGATACCAATAAAAGGCTTTTTCTAAATTCTTTTCTGTTCCTTTTCCATCTTTATAACATATGGCTAAACTAAACATTGCATTTTCATAACCATTTTCTACTGCTTTTTGATACCAATAAAAGGCTTTTTCTAAATTCTTTTCTGTTCCTTTTCCAATTTCATAACATATAGCTAAATTAAACATTGCTTTTCATAACCATTTTCTGCTGCTTTTTGATACCAATAAAAGGCTTTTTCTGTTTCCATTTGGCTGTTTTGGAATTTTTTTTTTTAGAAATACTTTTTTTTTATACAATATGTCATAAATAGATACTAAAGAAATATTTTAACTAAAAGTAGGAGTTTAATAAGAAAAATTCCGATGCACTCACTGATTTGCATTGAAAATTTCTTTAAATCATATTTTGTGTAACAACTGTGGCTGTCTTAACTCTTAAGTGTCTTTGTGATTCATGTGACGTAAGTAAACAAAACAAGAGGTAAAATTTGTTGATTTTCTTAAATATAATTTTTTATTACCAGTTACCATTAGGGTTGGATTAATCTGGTCTGGTTTAGCCTGGTCCCAAAAAGACTGGTCTTTCAACCTGGACTGGACTGGATTGGGACCAGACCGATTTAAACTTAAGAAATTTGTCCCTATGATTTTAAGCTTCTAAATTATGCAACGTTTTTTATTAAACAGTTAAAGAATGTTGCGGAACATTTTTTAACATGTAATTTAACAAATGAAAAAACGTTTCGCAACATTTTTTATTAAAACAGTTAAAGAGCATTGCAAAACGTTTTTTAACATGCAATTTAACAATAAAAAACGTTTTATAACGTTTTTTTATTAAAACAGTCAAAAAATATTGCGAAACGTTTTTTGACATATAATTTAACAAATAAAAAATGTTTCGCGATGTTTTTTTAATTATTTTAACAAAAAACGTTGTGAAAACATTTTTTATTAAGTAATTTAATAAAATAAAATGATTTCTCACATTTTTAATTATTGTCCGAAGCGTAGCGGAGGACATTAACGGTTAGACACATTGTAATGCAAGGTATATCTATCCGCATACGTAATTAACAAATAAGATGTATTATTGATTATTATCACGTAATCAGATTTCAGTGACGCGTCTGACACGTGAATTTAAATGAGTGCTTCGGACATTGCAACGAATCCTGTTACCTAGTTTTAATGAGTCATTTTTATTGGATATTAATTATATGGATCGGTCTCCGGTCTGGACCGGTCCTCAGATCTCAGACTGAAGACCGTGAAGACCAGTCCCAAGACCAATGCAGGACCGGTCTTTGCTAGGACCGATCCAACCCTAGTTACCATATATGTACATTATTTTATCCAATTTTTGTTGGTCCAAAAACTTAGCCACCTTGTACAAATTATATATCTGTCTGTTTTTTTAGTAGATTTATATAACTATATTTTAATGCAAGCTGTTTTCCAGTATCAAAATACACAAATTCCAAAAATTTACAATTTCACAATATTTATTTGTTCAAAGTTTGAGAAAAAGCAAATAATATTTGGAATGTTTGTTTGAACTACCTTTGCTGCTTCTTGTGGGGAGTTGATTATTTATATATTGTGAAATCTAATTTTGCATAGTTTGAACATTGGCCCACACCATCTTCTACATTTTGTTTTAGTTGAACAAGCATACTTTTTGCAGCATGCCCTGTTACTCTTATTTACATTTTATTCTAAAAAATATCCTTGTAAAAATTTTCACTCCTACTTAAAATATACTTACCACTCTTTACTTCCAAATTTTGATGCCTACTTATTATAAGTCAATGGCCAAAGCAAAAACTGAGCTATAATTATCAAGATAATGTTAGTTTACCATATAGAATTATTCAACACCATCATACTCTGAATATATGATAATCACAGTCAGAAGATCTTATTAGCTGAAAAGATAAGTTAAAGAAATTACTAAACATTGCGAGTGAAATTAGTTATACATAATACAAATACTATTATTTGTAAAAGATTTTATTTTTATTACTGAAATTACATTTATATTAGCAAACAATAACAGGTAATTTAGGACTAAGTTAATTTTAATTATTATGAAAATAATAAAGTATATGCCAAATGGTCTTTAAGGACAATATATACATATATAGCTTTAGTATGATGATGTGGAACTAATGACGGACATGTAGCTAGAAGACTTTCAAAATCATGATGCTTATTATTGAAATAAGTGGCGGTCTTCCATTTTCTAACTGTTACATAATGCAACTAAAGGCATTGATGTGCATTGGAAGATTGGAAGCTTCTTTAATAATTTGTTAGATTTTTTACGCTTGGAATTCCAAGACAGCAACCATCCGTATATAATAATTGAATAGGTTCTTTATATTGTAGGTTGCAAAGCGACTTAACTAAAAAGGAGGAAGCGAGTGCAGGTAGATCTTACTATTCCAGTGTAGATTCAGGAAATTTAAAAGTCCAACCTATTTTTATAGATATAAAAGAAGGGAGAATACAACAAATAAACTGAAAACTTATTTTCTGGAGAGGTTCTTAAACGATTTAAAATTTAACCATTAACAAGCTATGTGAGCGCATCTTAAATTAATAAGTCCGAAGTATGATGTTAATATTAGTTGATATATCAGTTCCTTGATTATATTTTTTTATTGCACTATGTTAAATAAAGTAATAAACCCGAAGTGAGCGGAAGTGGGCGAATTCTTTTTTTTTCAGGTACAATTAGGGATGGGGGTTAATTAACCACGGTTAATTAACCATGGTTAATTAACCGTTAATTTTGTTAGTTATGATTGATTTAAAATGGTTAATTAACCGTTATTTATAATTAGCCAATCAAAATGCAGAATTTAAATCATGTGATTAAATGATAATCCATTATTTTGTTACACAATTAAATATTAATTAATATAAATATTGATTAAATCTATGATCTACATATTGCATGATCTTTTTTTTAAGATAAATTTTTTTTAAAAAAACACTTTTTTTTTGCAAATTTATTGTTCATTATCATGGTAAAAAAAAAGGGAACTGTTTGGAAACATTGGACAATAATTACTGAAGCAGAAAGTAATGAAGAAAGTAGTAGGTCTAAGAAAAAAACACATCCTTCTGTACGTTGTAATTATTGTTCTAAAGTTTTTGAACAAGGTACAGCTAAAAGAATGCAAGTTCATCTTAATGATAGTTGTCCTAGAGCTCCAGAAAGTGCAAAAACAAAGAAACAACAAATTCCTGAACTATTAGAAACTTCTGATGCTACTACTTCTACTTTTATTCCTACAGTAAAAACATCAAAAAAGCATTTAAAAAATACAACAATTGAGAATTTTGTTGATCGTATGAGTGAAGAAGAACAAGATACTCTTGAAATTTTACTAGCTCAAGCATTATTTGCTGCTGGAGTTCCTTTTTCTTTTCTTGAAAATAATTATGTTATTCAGTTTTTTCAACAATTACGTCCAGCATTCAAATTACCTAATCGAAGAAAACTTGCTGATGAATTACTTGATGATGTTTTTGATGAAGTTAAAGCTGAATGTAATGAACAAATTTTACAAGCTAAATCTCTTACAATGGTTTCAGATGGTTGGTCTAATATTAATCGAGAATCAGTTCAAAATTTTGTTATTTGTACTCCAAAACCATTATTCTTTGATGCTATTTATTCTGGTGAAGAATCTCATACAGCTAAATGGGTAGTAATTTTAATGAAAATGAAGAAGATAGTAATAATAGTTCTGATAATGAAAATAAAGAAGATGATAATAATAATAGTTCTGATAATGATAGTATATTTGGATTTGAAGCAAATGTTATTAATTTAGATGA